TTGCGCTCGCTGCGGTCAGTGCCATGGCTACTCATCCGTGGACTTTTCCTGCCCTGGGATGCATAACAGACGTCGTCGCATAGGGGCATCTGGAGCCAACCAAGCCGGCTGCCATGTCCTCTGCTTGCTCCTAGAGGCGAACAGCTGCTGCCGGAACGCGCTACGGTCAGGTCTGCTACTCTGCGTGCTTCGCCAGCTCGCTTGGCAAAAGAGAAGTCGTCCTGTGGTCACTGTGGCTGCCGCGCAAGAGACATCATTAGGGCAAGCAGCTGGATTGGACCATATTCACTGCCTCGCCGTTACGAACAGGAAGTCGTCATGTGGTCACTGTGGCTGCCCCTGGTTCAAGGTTCGTCGCTAGTCTGGAACGTGCTTCACATCCCTACCCGTCTGAAAAGGAAGTCATCAAGTGTTCATTGCTGGTCAAGATGAAGCCTATGCTTCGAGTTGCTCAGTCCTGCTGCGGCTGTCCCCGTCGAGAGGGCCTCAGGGCAGGCAGCTGTTTCGGAACGTGCTTCACCACCCTGCCGTACGACAAGGAAGTCATCAAGTGCTCACTGTGGCTGCAGCTGGTTCAAGAAGAGGCGTGCGGTTCGCTCAATACCGCTACTGCTGTCGCCGTCGAAAGGGCCTCACTGCATGCAGCTGGTCCGGAACGTGCTTCACCGCGTGCACGTACGACAAGGAAGTTCAGAAGCGTACGCTTCCAGTTGCTCACTCCTTCCACTTGCTTGCTGCTGTCGACGGGGAGCTTCTCACATGCGGGGGCAAGTAGCGTTGCCCGGCTCTTGTAAAGTCAGGCCGCTTGGGTGCTCGCAATTGGGTGCATGACGTGTGCACACTTCGTTACGCATGTTTCGGCACGGGCGTTGGCTAGTCTTTACTTCGTGGCTTTGGCAGGGCGAGAGGGAAAAAACAGTTACTACTATGACTGTTATGACTATTACTACTATGGGCATGATAAGGATTATTAACGTATAGTGATTATACCAGCGGATCCCCAAACAGTGAAAGGCCACACGAGAAGCATATCTTTTTTGCCAAGACGCCACGACCACTGTCATATGCGAACAGGCTATCCTTGCTTGTGAAAGCATGTAACCACCTACGAGGACCACCACAGACCAGGACGACCGAGCAGGGCCTGCAGACCGCCAGGAGACCGTTAAAAGCCAACCGGAAGACCAGCAAGACACCAGCTGGACACTGCCGCAGGCGACGTATGCTTCCCCCCCCCCTTACGTTGCGGAATGCGAAGGAACACTTGGAATCACGTCCCTCAAGTGCTGCTGCGAGTTAAGGTTGTCGAAAGCAGAAATTGGTTCATGTCACTAGTATAAGCTTTTGACAATGAATTCTGTCTGCGCGGCAGGCTGTAAATAGCAGGACGTCGGCACAACGCTATGTATGCACCGCGCCACAGCGGCAGACGCATCCAGTGTAAAAATAGGACGCGGGACCCCGGCATAATACTAGGACTTGCGGAGCTTCTTCTTGGTTTGCGCAGTGAGACATAGTTTCTTTTTGATACTGTTCAAATTTCTTTTTGATTCCTTGAAGACTTTAATTAGTCTTTCATAATGATTAGTTTGCACCCACGCTCCCCAGCGCCAACAAGATAGACCGAATAACCTGCCTATAGCAAACACGGTGTATGTCTGTGCCAGTTGCCTTCTAACTCCGAAGGGGGGGCCGACAGGTTCAATAGACTGCCTGAGACAGACTGAGACTTCCTCTTAAGTTCTTAAGTGTGCTGAAGACGAAGAAGCAGACAAAAAGCAGGAAAACAAGCTTCTGGGGCTTACAGACCCTCCAAACCCCAAGACGTCAAACCAGCTACTGTGAACCGTGGAAGTCTGAACCGGGCGATGTTTTCGAGACCAGACCTTCGGGGGTTAGCAAAGTACGGAAAGCGTTGCCTTTCAGTGTTCAAGGCTGGGAAAGAGAAATTTCCATATCCAACACATACCCGAAGATGGCACGGGAGAGAGAAATTATTTGAAACCCTTGAGTGAAAAAGAATTTGGCTGCGCGGGCTTGCGTGTTTGGGGGGGCTTACGGGTGCGTTTTCCTGAAGCCGCAAGCAAGCAAGCAAGAGAGAGAGAAAGACAGAATCTTTCTACCCCTTGAATTTTGCTCAGCATAGCATGAGGCTCGAAAAGTTCATGCTGAACCCGAAAACTCAAAAGCGCTTGGAAGCTTGTGTTAGAATCCTACCAAACTTTGCTGAGCCAGGCACTTCCAATGTTGGAAGAAGCGCGGCATAATCTCGCGGCGACTTGGGAAATTGGAGTAGGGCTTCGACATGTTGAAGTTTGCAAGTTTTGGGCTTCCAATTATTTCTTTAATTCTGGGCCCCCAGGCGCCCTTAAATGTTTCGATCGATTGAGCTGTCGCATGAGGAGAAGAGATGTTAAGGGTACATAGACTCGTCGGGTTTAGGGGTTATCTTTGGCTTGTGTGCTTGGGGCTTGCCAGGCGGATCCTGTATTGTAGGTTCAAGTGATCGAACGCGGTTCTTCGTGGGAGATCCTAGGTTCTACTGCAGCGGAGGCTTCGGTACCACGAAGCTATGGAGGTGAGACCCGATTCCGTCTGCACCGGGCACGCACATCGCAGAAGTCTGGGAGCTTGCATCTTCAAAGCTTCGACTTTACTTGGTGACCAGATGATCAGCGAGAGCACACCGCCCGACCAGTCCATGAGGGTCGTAAATGTCCACATCGACGGAACGGCTTTCCAAACCACGGGGGTGCCATGAGCTCACTACCAGGCTTTTGTGCAAAACCGAACCGAATACCATCGGAAGGTGTTGGAGCCGCTGATTGCAGGCCTGAAAGTGTTTGATCCAGGGTGCGAGGGATTTGTCTTCATGGGTATTGTACATTGCAACACCTGAACCTGAACAACCCAGAACTCAAACACATGAAGCCCTTCCATCCATTGACAGTACCTTTTGAAAGACCAGTTCAGTAGTCCTGCAGCAGGTTGCGTGGCTGCGAGACTCAAAGCAGAGTGAATTACAGAAAATGATGCGCTTCCTGAGTGCAGAACCGAGCTCACAGTAGACTCGGTTGATGCTTTCTGCAAATCCTACACCAGTCTTATCATTTTTATGCCCTTCTCCTGCAGGTGCACTCTGCAGCCTCCGGGCATGATACCCCAAAGACACCGAAAGGAGCCTTGAACAATAGCACAGCAGAGAGAGTGAGAGAGTGAGCAAGCAAGCAAGCAAGACGCAAATCATGCGACCAAGAAGCGCAAGAACACAAAGCAAAGCCGAAAAGATCAGGATAATACATATCCTTGACCCGAAGCTCTGGGCCCTTCACTCTTGGGCTAGTGCGAGTGTAAGTGCCGGACCCTTGTGTCTCTACATCCGAAACCGGTGCTCTGTGAGAGGCTCCGAAGAACGGGAGCCAGCAGATGCCAGCGGCCAGCTGCGCCTCGATTGAAACATGGGCTTCCGAAAGGCTCTATATCTCTATATATATATATATATTCATTCATATTTCTTTTATATGTATATATATATATACACACATATATATATATATACATACATATATATATATATACATGTGTGTGTGGGTGGGTGAAATTTTAGAATTCATAGGTTGCCACGCTTTTCCCGCACGAAGGGAGTTTTTTTTTCGGATTGTTGTTTGTGGCTTCGCTGCGGTTTTGTCGTGTGACCTCGGCAGCATATGGCTTCGTAGGCTTGGTGAAGCGCGTTGGGAGGTTTGTCGTGCCCGGGCGAACAGATTCAAGACTGGTGTTGGGTGGTCTGAGCGGGATAGATTGTCATCATCAGCAACTCAGCAACGGCAGTGCCATATCTCTAGTGTTGAAGGTAAGACATTGACATCAGCAACTCGCCGGGGTTTTTCCTCTGCCAATGGCCTTGCACCAGAAGTCATTGCATTAAGCAGCGCAGATAGGCTAACTTTCGTTCGAGCTCGGGACCCTGTCGCAAAAGCTTCTCGGGCAACATCTTGGAGTCAGAACGTGCAGCCGGAATGACTCACGAGTAGGATTTCGATGCGGATGGCAGCAGCAGCTTTCAGGCGGATGCGAGAAAATCGTTCTGAAGGAAACGAGTCTGAAACGCCCAAAGGTATCGCGAGCTTCTGGACAAGACCGGCCGCTGGAGCGAGGCCCAGCCTTTGAGCTCTCGAGGTTCAGGGAAAAAGTGGCCGAGGTCTGCTGTAGTTCGGACTTGGGGTTCCTTCCAGCCTCGAAGAGCCTTAATATCTTTGACGGCCGCAGCTGGCTCACACATATCATGCTGTCGCCTGCACGTGCCATCGCTCCAGCGTCCTGCAGCAGCTGGAAACCTGGGCGTGCCCTGGCGCACACGAGCCCTGCTTTGCAAGACCATGATGCAGTGATGGCTCAGCTTGAGTCCGAGACTTTCGAGGCAATTCCCACACCATGCCCAGCTCCTCTTTGTGCAGCAGCTGGCTCTGCAGCTTTCTGAGCAGTTGCATGTGGCACGCGATGCCTCGTCCAGGCAGTTTGCTTCAGTTGTCTGCTAGCTTGGACTGAAGCTATGTTCTACCGCTCCGCCGGCGAATGGAGTAAGGTGCCGCACAATTTCAGACCGCTGCAATGAGCATCCACAGCCGTCGGCATGCATGGAGTTTTGCTTTGCCAAAGCCATCTCAGCAGAAGGCTAAAATGCAAGACCTGGGGCTCCGCTTCCACCCGGTCGAGCTCATCGCAGGATAACTTGGAAGAGCAGCCGCCGAGTTGCAAAGAAAATGTTCTGCAGCGTTTGTCGTCTCTGCCTCCTTCAGCTACCTAAGACCCGCCGTAATTTGCGGACAAAGTTCAGATAGCAATGAGCATCCACAGCAGCCAGCATTGCCGCATGCTGCCTTGGTGGGCATTGCCACGGAGAACGGCGAGCACTGTTCTCAGAGCTTTCGATGCGGTTTGGACTTCCCATGTGACATTCGTGGCCAGAGCTCATTGCATAGTTCTCCTACATCGACACAATGCAAGCTTTGGTTTGCAGCCGCTTGAGTTTATTATCACCTTCTCACCCGATGGCTTTGGCGTGCCCTTGACGTTGCCCGAGGCAAATTCCATGCAAAAGCAAGGTCCGAGACCCTCCCCCTCAACCACGGCAATGCTTCGAGCGAGATCTTGGAGTTGGAGACTGGGTTGTTTGATGCAAAAGGGAGTGACTTCCTGCTAGACCAGAAGTCACAGTGCAGCGAGCTCTGCGCAGTTCTGCCTTTTGTCCGGCCCGTGTGTAATCCATTGCATAGAAGCAGGAAGTGCGTTATCACGCAACCTCAGGTCCTGTGTGAAATGGGCAGGTTGGACAGGCGCGGTTGGGTGGTCATGTCCAGTCCGACACCCAAGGAGTCGTGCACATGAGTTGCGATGGGCAGGTCTCAGTTTAGCATCTCGAGTTTTCTCGCCACTGGCAATGGTTTTCTTTTCTTCCCGGCAGCTTCGAGTGCCAACTGGCAGAGGATAGCAGGGAACGGAAGTTTTCCGAGTGTCTCTTGGCCGTTACAAGCATCATGCATGGAAAGCAAGTCAAATCACCGAATGCATTTTTCTTCCCAGCCTTCCTGGTGGTGTATCAAGCTGGCTTGCGCGGACGAAACGCATTTCCCAGAAAGTGATGTCAACGACATCGTCAGCGCAAACCTTCAAGCAATCTTGCTGCACTGCTGCGACGTGGATTCATGTCTGAGGACCCACGCGCTGCGCTCCATCTTGTTGGCAACTATTTGTTTGGTGGCCTGCCTTTTGTGCGGCGAATGATGGCCGAAGCCATGCTCGACCACATGGAAGACCTGCTGCCAGAGTCCACCGAAATCAGCAAAGAGGCCTTGGAGCAGGCAACGCAGGCGCAGGCCATCTCTGCGAGCACTGACGAAGCCGCAGCCTCAGAAGTGGGTGTCCCTGCTGGTGAGAGCCCTGCAAATTGACGAGGGCCAGGCCCAGTTCCAAAAGATTCTGATTTCTGACCTGAAGCTCCTGTGGCGCGTTATGACGATCCCAGACGAACCTATGCAGAAGCAGAGCAGCAACTGAAGGCTTTCTACACGCATGCCAACACAGATTTGCAGAGTGAGATTTGGAGGCTCCGCTGTTGCTGAAGTCTGTTTCACACAGCCAAACGCTCAACCGCAACTTCGGCTAAAAGGGAGGTGGGCGCCAGTGAAAGAAAAACTTGGAAAAGCCTCCTCAAAACCCTCAGACACTAAGCCGGCTAAAACCTCAAAGCCTCCTCCAAATTCCTCTGTCCCATTCCACATAGCCCAATGTTGCAAACCAAAGTTCTGAAATCGACCCTTCATGCACATGCAGCGAAGTCGACTCCACGAAGGCAACAGTGTGGTCAGTGTACTCCCTGTTCATCGACAAACGGTTAGCTCCCGCGCAGCGGCCCTGAACCGAAGGGGAAAGATAGTCCGAGTCCTGAACTTCACGCGACCTGTAGTCCTCCATGCCATGCTAACGGAACCTCAGAGACGCGTGGCCTACTGTCGCATGTACAGCTGCATGACCACTTTCTGGGTTGAGGAACTAATTAGGCTCCACTGCGCTCCCCGCACTGCACTCTCCGTGATAGGCCGAAGTGCAGCTGCGCCGTGACGGCAGCGCTGCAGGGGCTGCAGCTTTGGGTCGTGACGCGTCGGAAGCAGACTTCCAAGCCAGCTTGTTTTGACTCAGCACTTCTACATCTAGTCGAGGATGCGGTGTGAATCTGCTCTTAGCGGGGCCAGCTAGTGTCCGACCAGCATGATGCGCCCAGATTTTCTTCTCCGAAGACAGCGCCGCCCAGCTACATGGCACCGGGTCAGGTTACTTGGGTACGGAGTGGAGTTGCACCTGCCGCCCTCCGTGAGCACTCTGACAGTAAGACGAGAAAGCGCTTGAACCCCCGAAAACAAAGATAGACTCTCCAGGAGGCCTCCTAAAACTAGGAATCCCAAACCCTGAATCAGCCGATTGAGTGGGGTGTGGGCATGCACAGGCTTTGAGCTCAGAGTGATTGTGCTGCTAAAAAAAAACCCTGAATCTCAAGACATGCATATACTGGAGTGTCTAGCTGTCAACTCGTCTGGTTGACAGCTTTTATGCTCAGACGCTCGAGGGTGCACACTGCCAAGGGCCAAGTGAGTATCAGTGGTGAGCGGTGCCTGCTCTGAGAACCTATCAAAAGAAGGCCTGATGAGTGAGATTGAGTGACCTCGTTGGCTTGCAAGAGCCTGTGCGGAACCGTGCACCGAAAGACCCTCTCATGGTGCTGTAAACCTGATGTCCATCGTGCCAGCGCCACCTGCAGGTTCTGTGGATGCTGAAGTTGAGGATTCGGGCAGCGCTTGCTGTTTTTCCGTTATTCCAATCTTTGGCAACAACAGGATGTCGAGCTTCCATCACTATCGCTGTCTTCTGGCCTTGCAATGAGCGGCAAAATCCCATGTTTCCACAATGGCGTGTCCCCAAACCCTTACTGCCACTAGAAAGAGGGAAGCGGGGTTCTTAGGCACCTTGCACAACATGTGACGAGGCTCTGCGCCCTAATCCCGAAAGAATAAAAGCCTGCAGGGGTAATCTATCCTGTTGCTGTTCCAGTATATGTGCGGCCGACAACCCAAGTGAGCACTTTGCCTTGCCTGGTATGGATTCACTCTCTGGCTCTTAGTAGGGAATAGGGGAATGGGTTACAGGGACTACTGTAAGGGAACTTAAGGGACTCTCATTGGGATCCATTCCCCCATTCCCTACTAAGAACCAGAAACCCTAAACCCTAAACCCTAAACACAACCCTAAACCCTAAACCAGAGGGTTTCGGGCCAATCTCTGAGGTCTCCAGGAAGCCGAGCCCAGTCTGAGGGCAGCGACGGGGCGCCGCGGCGCCGCGGCGGCTCCCTGGCCCTGCGGAGGGTTAGGGTTTAGGGTTTACGGGCGAGCTCAGTTCAAGCCTGTGGAAAAGGGTTTAGGGCTCAGGGTTTAGGGTTTAGGGTTTAGGGTTTGGCTTGCTGTTTGGGTTACCTGGGAGAGTAAGATTGGGAGAGTTTGATCTTGGACTGTGGGAGTTTCGGGTTTGAGGTTGAGACTTCTGGTGTTGGTACAAGCTCGGCAGCTTTTTACCTGAAAGTCTTGGACGGTCTCAGCCTGTGGTGGACTGTCGAAGCTTCAGGGTCCAACACTCTACTGCTTGGCTTTTCTGGGGTTTCCTGGCGAGACACGTCGTGCAGCTACACAGGTTCGGAGCCTGTTCCGTTGAAGTCTCTACTTCGCACCCAAGAGCAGAGGCGATCAGTGATTGATTAAAAGACTTTTCTCCGATGCTTAAATGCATAAAACCCGTTTTTCTAGTGTTCTAGTATTCTCGAACCTTTAGGCACCACGCCGTTGTGCCTCAACCCCAAACACAAATCGAGAACTGGCCCTCACATCGTGCAGCAGGACTCGTTCTTTTTTCAGGCGGTAGTAGACAGCAGATTTGAAAGTGGCTTCAGGACCTTGGCACCACTCTGTGGATGCTCGGGCGGCAGGCCGCCTTCCTGGCGTCCTTGCCACTGCCACCACCACAGCCTGAAGCGAAAGATTGTTTGTTAGTGATCCTGATGAAGATGCTGGTCATGGCAGAGATGAGAGGTGATGGTGTCTTCGGCGAACTGAGCTGCTCAAAGGGAGCATTCGATGAATGGTCCACAACCTGAGCTCAGAACTTGTAGTGGAGCCTCGAAGTCACGAAGGCGTAGGTCACACCGGCCCAGACCCGCGAGGAGCCCAAACCTCCGAAGCCTTCTAGACATCCCCAAATCCCACGGGCATTACAAACTCACAACCTTCAGTGTTTTTCTCACCCATCGAACAAATGTACGCACACGAACAGGCCGAAGCACGTGCAAGCTGGGGCAGAGCCCTTGAATTGCACTCCGAGCCTCTGGGATGCAGAAGTTGGTTTTGCATGTCCGTTGCAGGCCTCTTATCCTTTCGGCCTGCTCGTGCAGACATTAACAACCGCAGATCCCAACTTTCAAAGCCGTTGGTCTGAGGCAAAATCGCCTGAGAGATGCTAAAAACCATGCCTGAAGCGCAGCGTGCCAGGCAGGGATTGTCACCCGCGAGCTTTTTGGTTCCCGTGGTGGAGGGCGAGGCGGAACCATCAGGGAACGCTGGGATTATGAGCAAGGCGGTCTTCAGATTCGCAGCTCTGAAAAGGGCCCTGTGAAGCCTGTACTGCGGAGCTCCGCAATCCTGCGTTGGCCGAGCAACGACTCCATGGTTTTCCTGAGTTCTGCTCTTCCCTTTTCCTTTCCATGACACATATGCGGGTCATATGCACATGGAGTTGATACATGTTTATACTAGGTACTAGTTACTAGTAGTAAGAACGGAAGTCATGGCTCAGATGTCACAGGCCATTCCCCCCCCCGCAAGCCTTTCATGCAGTTGCATTACATTTGAGCCCTTGAGCAGCGAGGCAGAGGAGTCGAAGGATTTGGAAGCTTAAATCACTGCGCCCGACCGTGTGAGCCAGAAACCAGCAAGTAGCTAAGTAGCCCCGAGAGAGAGAGAGAGAGTGATAGCTCCTCGCCCCCTAAAACCAAACTTGTGTAAGACCCTACATAGCCCTACGCCTTGCAGGAGGCCTATCGCCGCTTCCGAGCCCAGGAGGCTGCAGCCTTCCGAGCGACGCTGGCTGCCGAGGCCCCGCGTGTAGGGAAGGTTTAGGGTTTGCCATGTGTCCTGCAGCCAGGCTTGACGTTTCGAATGCCTGTGAGAGAGAGAGAGGGCTTTAGGGTATTGGATGTAGTATGGGGGCCGGAATGGTTTGAATAGGGTTCTAGCGCGGGCTTATCCGGCTTTGTGTCAAGCCTGGATTGGGCTTCCAAACCGTTTTGTACGACTTTGACTCATCGAAGCAGGATTTAGGGGCGTGCTATACTATCGCATGAGCTTCCAAAATTTAGGCAGGATTTGGAGCTTGGCGGTTTGGGGGTGGTGTTTGAGGTTTCGGAATTTCGGGGTTGAGCAGTTCGGGGCTTTTGAGGGCTGGGATGCTTAGAGTTTAGGGTTTAGGGTTCTTCCGTTGCAGCAGCCTCACAGTCCCTGCTCTCATTGAGTGCAGCCTGGAACGAGTCAGCTGTCCCGGCGTGACGTTGCAGGCCAGTTTCCAAAAAGGGTTTGGGTTTGGGGTTTAGGGATTCAAGTTGAGGGAATAACAGCAACCATCTCGACAGACAGCTTTGCCAAGCATACTGTTTGCTGCAGGAGTAACAGCATGAGAAAAGAACATGGTCTAGTGCTGAAAGTTGGAGAATCCCAACACAGGCAGTATGAAGGTGACAAGCCCAAGAAGCATAGAATCACAGGAGCCATAAAGACTTTGAGACGGATGTAGAAGTCACGAGTACTGGCACTAGGAATCGAAAGACGCCTGGCAGGGTATTCCGCTGCATCTTCACCTCAACGGCTTAAAGAAGTCGGATCAGCGTATCGTGGTCGTGCGTTTAAGGATTCATCTCCGAGATATAGCTAGAGGCCCCGGCCTTTGCCGCTTCTCTGTCTGCCGCGCTGGCGGACCTTCGGCGGCTGGAGAACGACCCGGTGCCCGGGCCAAGGAACTCCCGTTGGAGGAACGACACTTGCAGGTGCAGTACGACAGCAAATTAGCGGCAGTGCATAGAAGCCTGGCAGTTCTGGTCGCAGTTCCCGGACATGTGCCAAAACCATAGTCTGCACGGGTCCAGGGTGCAAACCTGGTTTGCACGCAGCGAGGAGGCAATGAACAAATCTTATGGGTTAGATTCAACGCTACAAGGCATGCAAGTGGAGAATGCCCTGTGCAGACAGACAAGCATGCAGACAGACAGGAATGCGTGTAAGTGCCATGAGAGACTGTGTACCTCGAGGCGTGGCTTGTTCGCTGGGCTTCCGAGCGCACGGACGTCTGTGCTGGGCAGCT